AAAGTAACAGCAAAACATATAGTACAGGCGGATCAGAAAAAAACCAGGACCCAATTAGTATCGTCTAAGGTTTGAGTATAAAACGTTGATACGTACGTACATTTCTCTCTTTTGGTGTTTTAGGCAAATCAGAATAAGTTAGCGACCAAATGGGCACTTACAGTTGGTTCTACAGACAGCAGTTCGTCCAAAAAGCTGCATGTCGATGCATCGCAAACAACTGAATTAGTAACAGATGAAATGCGAACAGTATCAGCAGCCGCCAGCACTGACAGCAAATGTTTCGTTCAAGTTTCTAACGTTAATCCATTCTATATTAGTGATGGAGACCTGTGGGCAATCGTGCTTAAATTGGAGAAAAATGCAAAAGGTAGTAAAAGAACGAAAGAATAACAATGTTATTATATCGTGCGGTTAGCTGATTCTGTGCTTTGTTTTTTGCTATAATTCAAGCAGCTTTGTTTCGTTTTTGCGTTGGTGTATTAGGATATTTGTAATAAAATAACAAAAAAACACAAATTTTAAAATCATCATGAAATATGCGCACTATGCTAGAATTATTTGAAGAAATTCAGTATTCAGCTCCTAATCTACAGGTATGTTTTAGAAGTATTAATACACCTAAAAAATTATGTTTTCTGAGCTTGATAGCAAGTGTAGTTGGAGAATGGAAAAGGCTTTTCATCCATCATGTTTCAGGCGTAGGGTCAGAAATAGTAGAAGTGCGCGGATCTGTTGCTTCGCTTTGCTTTGTACCAACCTTAGAAATGGATGAAACATCGGCTAACATTGAGTCTCATCTTAGGGCTGGCTTTCAGACAAAAATTTAGTCGAAATTTGCTTTGGTTAAAAAGGCTGCTTTATACTATTTTGTTCAAAGTTATCATAAATTTTAATATAAAGTTAATATACAGTTAATATAAATTTTATTCCGTTTAAAAGTAATTCAGAACCGCTAGTATTCTTTTATTTTTTTGGTAGTAGTGGTTATGTGGACATACAACTCTCTACTTCGTTTTTAAAACTCTCCAAAACATTTCAGAGCAGATTCTAGATTCATGACGCAAGTTGACGATTTATCCGGTGAAGTGATAATGATCATTCTCAAAAAACTAAATGCCCATCAACTATATACTTCAATGTACAATGTACAATGTTTGATTGTCTGCGATTAAATTGGATAGTGCGTGATGCCCGTTTAGTTTTAAACGTTAATTTATCTCACCGTTCCAGAGAAGAGTTTACAGACTACTGTGCACAAATAATACCTTTAGTATTCTTTTTCCAATTCCATCAGAGTGACTGATGTGTATATTTACAATGTGGCTAATCAATTTTATAGCCGTATTCAGAGACAAGCGATGAACTTGACTTTATCGAGCGGAATAATAGCGCGAAGAAATCAGATGGATGTCTTTTGTTCATTACTCAAGCTAAGAGAGTTTGTTGGCGTCCGATCTGAAAGTATTTCCATTACGCAGAACCTCTGCACATGTTCTACTACTTTTTTGCAAAATTTAGGTTACATTAGTTGCTATTAAGTTTCATCAATTAATAGATTTCATGGCTGAATTACAAAACCTAAAATTGTTGTCACCATTAACCATCAACACATAAATACAAGATAAAGATGATTTGCGTGCCATCTATAAAAGTGCTCTTCAAATTCCCTCATTAATCAGATGTGTGTTAGATTTTCAGAAAGCAATTGATATCATAGCAAAACAGATCACTTTTTCTGGGGCTGGTTTACAAGAAAACTGAATGCACCAATCGATGGGGAATTTAATGAGGATTCCAGATATGCTACCCCTTGTCCTGGATAACTCTTCTCCTAGATAAGCTATACTTTAGTGGGAATATTCATTTACTCTTGTATCCAAGAACATTTCTACACTATGAATGCATAATCCGTCAAGTTAAATAATTAGAATATCACTAAGTAGACAGTACACTTTTCCACTTATCACGCGATCTTTAAGTACAGAATTTGAGCATTTATGCTAAAATATTTTTCAATAAAGGGCACCTCAGATTTATTAAGATGTCGAGCTGCCTATATCACCGTTGAACGCACAAAAAAATCATAATTTTTGTTTGTAATTAAGTAAGCTTCTCAATGAGTTCTGGAAAAGGTGTTAGGGCTCTTTTTCGCTATCATGACTTTCCGGCTTTCTCTTCGGATCATGATAATCAGACATAATATGTGTTAAAACTTTAGTTATTCAGTGAATAACCACATTAATTTTATGTAGAAAATGAAATAAAGTAGAAATGAAACTTGAAAACAAGATTAAAGTGTAGGACGTTATTTCTCTTTAAAGAACAAAATAAGGAAAAGTAGATTTTATATTTTCATTGACATGTTCGTTTATTTTATGTTCAAAAGAAGTTGTGCTGACTATGATTTTATTCAATATTCTACCCACTTCGGGAATTAAAACTAAAATAATTAGAGAGGACCCTTTTCCGCTTTTTATAGTAATCTGAAACTCACAATTTGTACTATATATTGATCTGTTCTTTAGAAAAGGTCCCTTTTAGTTTCTTTTGGTTTTAATTAACGAAGTTGACAGAGTACGGAATAACTTACACAGGGCACATTTGATAATTTTATCTTTTTCTTACTTTGTTCGATAAACAGAAAAGATGTTGTCTATGGATGTTCTCTGCGCCAAAAGGATAAAATAAAAACGGCATCTCTGTTTTTAAAATCAAAGAGCAGGACAGTTGGAAAGATAATATTTGGTTACTCCATATTCTGAGACACTAACGAAGTAACTATCGTCCACCCTGAGGATTAGATGAAGAATTTGAAATAAATCGCTGAACATGTTTTCTGACACTGACAGTGGCATCATTTTAGCAAGGGGGAAATAGCGGACTCCTGGACTTCTGTTCCCAAAAAAGAACACTTTTGCTCTTGGACTCCTGGGCTTCAGGAGTCCGCTATTTCCCCCTTGCATTCTAGACACAACTTGTATAAATTTAGCATGTAATTAATTATACATAACTGCTTATCAATTTATAATTGTTTATTATCAACATACAATAAAATTTCTCATCAGCGCACTAAACACTATCTTCCTTATGGATGTAATCGACAGATATTTGATGAAAATAGACTTGTTTCTCTTATATTAAGTCTAGAAAGAAAGTCGCTGAATATGTATGTTATGTGCCAAGTGTAGAACACGAGTTGTACACGATACTGATCTAATTTTTAGAAAAGGATTCCTTTAGTCTTTGAGAAATGTGGCTGTGAATATCGTTCATCGTCCTCTAAAAAACTAAGCTTTTTCTTGCTCGATTTGCAGAGACTTCTTCTGCTCGTCTCACAAACTTGGTTTTTTAGAGGATGATGAACGATATTCAGAGCCATATTTCCCAAAGACTTGAATAAATTTTATACTATTGTCAAAGCAACATCTGATGTTATCCGTACCGGTGTCGGTCAACCGATAATCAAAAAGTTAAAACTAGAAAAAGCACACGAATCTACATCTTGACGTAACAAATGAGTTTATTATCTGCTATTTGCCCCTTAGTGAATGGAGTATGCCATATATTTCTTCTTCTGATCATATGTGTTATGTTCTACGATTTCTCGAGTTACATGAAGCTATAGAGCCACAAAACTCCACGAGAACACTGGCGAAGGGATCTCTCCAGATGTTCTACATCGACTTCACTGATCTTTTCCCTATAGATACAAAGAGTGTCCTACCAGCTATGCATATTTCTTGAATGCGATAATATCCGGTTTTTTCGGTGTTGGTTTAAACCAAACATCGGTTTTTCGATTTAAAACCGAAATTGGTGCGTACCTAATGTGCTCGAGTTGTAATAATTCCGTACTCTGTCTATGAGTTTCTAAATTAAATGAGATTTCATTTTCTGTTTTCATTTTTCTCGGCTTTTCTATAAGTACAGAGATGGTCACTATTCTACAATATAGAGGGCGCTGTTTTCATGAATATTTTCGCACTTATAGCAAAGCCGAGAAAAATGAAAACAGAAAATAAAATCCCATTTAATTCTTGTTTAATTTTGAAACTTTCATCCAATAAAGCTGTGTTACAAAAAACTCGAAAATTGTATGAAATCTGCTAATGATTAGATGACTCATTCATAGCTGCGACCATACCAGTTCGCCGTTGAGCTTTAGAAAGATTTTCGATAGAGTGGAGGAATAATAAAGAACTAAAACTTAGTTGACGTTACTTCTTTACAGCCATTGAACAGATAACGGTACACTTTCGATCCTTACATAGCGAATAATCTTATGTTTATCCGATCGTCGAGAAAATAAAAAAATTTAGTTATACAACAACAAAATAGTCGAAAGTTATTATAACTAACTATGCTTAAAAACAACGTTTGAAAGAACAAAGACGAATGAAATATCTCAATTGGTACCTACTTGAACTTTATCATTTTGCGTTATATTACTTGATTATCATCATTGTACAAATGTGTAATATTTGTCAGTACCAATGACTTTAAATCATGTTATTCAATTAGAATTGAAATCGCTATAAAGCGTACAAATTTTTCAATGAAGAGAATTTGTTTTATTCAATTAATTAACCTTTTTCTTATGTTGTATCGATACATCTGTCTTATCTGCTGTACATGTATCTATTTTTTTAAGGTTACATATTAAGAAAAATCTCCTGAACAAGTATATACATGAGGTGATTGTCATATCGATCTTTCCTCGAAGTACGGAACGACGGTGGGATGATAAAAAGAACATTTGTACCTAGATGAGACAGACGGAAGAAGTTTGAACCTCAACGAGACAGGATGTCGATAAACCCTGTCCTTCTAGCTCTGATATGCACAGTATCTTAGTCTAATGAGGTTTCCGCCGATTCGTTTAGTATACCCAAGAAACTAACATACGATTGCTGTGATAATAGTTTCGTTTCATTTCATTGTGTAGTGAGAAAAAAAATCAGAAGAAAATAAAGCTTACAGTCACTTATTGTCTCTTCTTATTTTCTACGTCGTCGGATGATAACTTTGTATTTGTTCTCTATCATCTCTTTTGCGTTTAATGTAAAATTCGCTGAAATAATTGATACTTCGTACGTAAAATAATTTTTTTGTTGTGAGAACATAACTACTGTTTCATAATCCATTTGTTGAATATATTCAATTCTGACCGGTCGTTCTTTAAAATTTCGTATATTCAATGAAATTTCGTATGTTATATTATTAAAACTGCTAGAATATTCAGTTGATTCATTTAATAGTAATATGACAGTTTCTTTATAAGCAATATCAGAATCTCTTCCTATTGTAAATGAATATGAATTATTTGCTGCTTGATCATGCCATGATATTTCACCTACTACACGATTATTTTCTCTAACTAAAACATTACCTTTTGGTAAAAATAAATCACTGGTAAGACGATAAGCGCGTTGAGCATAACCACTGTTTGTCAATGTTTGAAAATAATTTTTAATTACACCATATCTTTCAATGATGACATTAGGACTTATCATTGGTAAAAGAAGATTTGTTTTCGCTTGAATAACGAATGGTACGTCAATTACATAAACATAAACACCAAATAATTCTTGACCTAATGAAACAGTTGGTCTTTGATTAGATCCAGCGCTATTTTGATTTCCATAAGATTGGACATCAGCGTTAAAAAGCTGACCATTATTGTAGGTATAAACAACAGGACTGCCTTTAATTTCAATATCACCGCCAAATAATTCAGCTTGTTCAATATGAATTGCATTTTCGCCACTATTTTTCATATCTGCATACCCGATCAATAACGTCTCATTACTATAATTATCGTTATTATCATTCAAGAAAAGATCGTACGTAGTGCTCCATCGTAGTTGAGTTGTTAACATTTGTAAATACAATTGTTCATAATCATTCACTGTTTGATAGGTAAAGTCAACAATGTATTTATCTTGTGGAGGAATGTCAAAATATTTTATTTCATAACTACGAATATCAACATAATAATATGTACTATCCGTTAAATCTTGAACTAAACCCAGACTATCATCAATCATCAAAATATCTTTGCACTTTTGGCGACAAATTTGTAATTCTTGTCCATTTAGCGATTTTTTTTCTTGTTGAATTGTTTGTGAGATAATACAAATATCGTCACCAATTAATCGTATTGTATCAGTACGTATTCCGTTCCATTGTTCTTGTGAAAATTCAATTGGTAATTGATCAGACGATATCTGATAACCAATTTCAGCTGAATTTGTATATAATTTTACTCTTGCTACTGTATCATTTGTAAATGCTGAAAAATCATCACTTAGAACAAATTTTACTAAAAGAACCGATAATAATGTTAAACGTGTCATATCTATTTGTAATCTGTCTCCCCTTTTCTCCTTCTCTTATTTCTTTATATACTGTCTAAATAAGAAGGCGAGATTAAGGATTATCCTTCTAGGCCATTAATACATTATTTAACTTAATATCTGATTTGTAACCTCAACGATAAGCACGTAATAATAATAATTCTTTTTGTTTGTTAGTTTTGAGCTAAAAGGGGTATCCTCTCGTTTCGTCCCGTATTTGTTAATTAGCTCTCGTTTCGTCCCGTCTCATTTCGTCCCACACTTGTTTCGTCCCGTCTCGTTTCGTCCCACACTCGTTTCGTCCCGTTTACATTTTCTATCATTCTACTCATTTTATAACTATTCATTT